TATGAGGGCCGGCACTTTCGACAGGGAAGCGCGGCCACCCCAAGCTGAAGTCCCCATCCCCTCCTCAGGCGCAACCAGACACCCCCCACGCCCGGCTTCACATTCACTCTACAATTCCCGACAACGGGTCAAACTTTCGGTCAAACCCAGGGTCACACTTGCTCAAGCCCTCCTTAGAGGCCCCCGCCTCCGCCCCACACAGGCCAGAACCTCTCAAACCCACTCCCCATCCCTGCGCCGCGCCGCTAGACATCGAGGATCCTTCCCTTCAACCTCCCCGGCCCGACAGACCCAAGAAGCCCAGATCCCACCTCCTACTTTCGCGCCACGTGGACCCAGAGGCCGTACTGACCCGCGGACAAAGACCAAAATGTCCACTCGGTGCGCTGCGCCTGCGCACTGTGAAGGGGAGCCAGCGCTCCCAGAAGTCTCCGCGACGCGGCCCAGCTCCTTTACCTGATATATGGTCCTTCGTAAACCAGCAATGCCGCTTTTCCAGCCGTGGACTACATTTCCCATAAAGCGTTGCTGCTCCTTTTCTCTTTATAGCTGTCTCCCTCACGCAAACTTGGTCGCCTCCGGTGAATTAGGGGTCCTTGAGGTAAATGCCCTTCCTTGGACTCAGATAAACCCAATCCGGCTGCTATATCTGGAGTGGAGGTTCCCTTTTAATCCCTCCCGGGCACACTCTCAAAACGGACCAGACTTAGAGGACGCCATCTTTTCCGCGACTGGTCTGGTGTTGGACTATGTTTCCCAGAGTTCACAGCGACCCGACGTTACGTCTCGACGTCTGGGCGAGATCGTTAGCGCCACAAGGACCCGGACGCGACCAGGGGAGGCAGAAGGTGAGGGTCTGAGAGTCCGGGGCGGGGACGGGGCGTGTCCCGAGCGTTGGGTCTGTGCGCGCAGCCGGGAGCGGGCCGAGGTCGTGCGATTCTGAATGTGTTGATTGTGATTGTGTGCCCGACGGTGGGTGCCGTGAGTGTTACGGGGTGTCATCACCTGTCTTGAAGGTGTATGTGTGGTTGTACATTGTAAACGTATAATTCTGTGCGTTGTGCCCCATCCTTGTGACTGTGGGGATGACACTGCGTGTGTCTGCTGTGCATCTGTGCCTGATCGATCGCCTTGTTCCTGAGAGTGAGAGTATAGTTGTGACTGTGATCCTGTGGCCGTGTGTAGAACTGTGTGCACTTGCTTTGTGCCTGTGACTGAGGTGACCCTGTTGTGCCCCTTGGGGTGTGTGAGAGGGAGAGGGGAAGAGAGACTGCCGGCGTGTATGCAGGCGAGAGTGACTTTGCTAGTGTGACTGTGTATCTCCAGAGCAAATGCATAGTGCAAGTGATTCTGTGTGCCCCTGAGTGGCACACAGAATAATTGTGACTGTGTAGGGCATTTTGGAATGTTGGTGTGGAGAGCCTGTGCCCATAGGGAATGACTGTGCCACAGTGGTGTGACTGCAGAAAAAGTGTGGCAGTCTCTGTGATTGGGAGGCTCTGTCTTTGTGTGGTTGTTTGTGTGACACATGGTGCCGCACCAAGTGTGAAGTGCCTGTGACTCCACTGCTCTGACCCCTGCAGAACCTGTGAAGTTAGGAGAGATTTCTGGTCCTGGCAAGAATCAGTTTTTTTGTTTTGTTTTGTTTGTTTGTTTTGGTAGTACTGTGGTTTAAACTCAGGGCACTCTACAACTTGAGCCACTCCGCCAGCCCTTTTTGCATTGGGTATTTCGAAATAGGGTCTTATGAACTGTTTGCCCAGCTGGCTTCAAACAGTGATCCTCCTGATATCTGCCTCCTGAATGGCTAGGATTATAGGTGTAAGCCACCGGGGCCTAGCTTAGAATGAGCGTTTAAGGGTGGCACTTTAAACAAAAAAAAAAAAAGGTGGCACTTGGATTGGGTAGGATGTCCAGTCTTCTCTGACCTCCTTTCTACATGCAGTAGAATAAAGGGTTTGTCCCCAAAACTGTCCTGCCACTCATGATTCCTTTTTCTTGACCCTCCTCCAAGCAAAGTGTTGAGAGAAGGAAAAAATTACTCTGGTACATCCAAAAGCCAAGTTCAAAGTGCATCACGTTTTAGTCCTTTCCTGAAACTCTTTTTGATTCTCAGGGTATACTTTTCTTCCTTCTGAAACTTCTTAAACAGATCCACCCTCCCATCCACTACTCCCAACCCCACCCAAGTGACCTGGCCTCCAGTATTTACCACAATAGTAACTTACTGGATGCCTGGAGAGGGACTGAAGGGTTCATACCTTGCCAGCTCTCTGCACATCTAATGTTTATTTGACAATGTTTTTCTTTTCATTTTGAATTAGTTTTAGATTTTGAAATGTTAGAAAAATAGAATTTACATAGCTCTCAACCCAGTTTCTCCACATTTCCATTTTATATAAGCCCAATACAGTTTTCAAAACCAAGAGCTTAACACTGGCGCTACTATTAACTAATCTACCAGCCTTACTCAGATTTCATCAGTGTCCCTTAATGTCCTTCTTTTGGAACAGCATCTAGTCCAGGATTCATGTTGCTCTAATGACACAGTATTCAAAATGATGAAGGAAAAAGGCACTCATCATTTTACAAAGAGCTCACCCAAAAAAGTTTAAATTAGTAGCTACATAGAGAAGACACCCTCTGAGTTTCCAACACCATGTTTTCTGCTTGCATACACTGCCTTATTTCATATGAAGATTGCAAATACTTGAAAACTGGTCATTGTGTTAGTTACTTTTGCATTGCTGTCACCAAAATTTAAGAACAACTTAAAGAGAAGAATTACTTATTTTGGCTCCCAGTTTCAGAGGTGTCAGTCTGTTATGGCAAGGAGGGTGTGGTAAAGCAGAGCAGTTCATATCATGGCAGACAGGAAGCAGAGAAATGGCATTCAGGAATGGACCAGGGCAAGATTATAGTCCCCAAGGACACCCCCCCAGTGACCTACTTCCTCAACTAGGCCCTACCTCCTCCTTTCCACCACCTCCCAGTCATGACATTATATTGTGAATCCTTCAAGAGATGAAACCATTCAGTGCCCTCATGGTGTCATCATCTCTGAACTTGCACTCACAAACACACCTAGAGGTGTCCTTTGCTAGTCTCCGAGGTGATCCTCAATCCATCGAGCCAACAATCAAGATTAACCATCACAGACATTTGTGTAATGTTTCTGATAATGAAGCCATCAAAGTGACAAAGATGAGTCAATGTTTAATGGACTGTTCAATAACTTTTCATATTGTATGTTTCAATCATGCTGATTTCCTTTTTTGTCACCATTCATTTCATAAACATTGGCCCACTTGCTAATAATTTTTTCCATTTCCAGGAAAATAAATGCCACCTATAAATCTGTTTATTTATTTTTATTTAAATGGAAACAATTACGAGTTTTAAATTATGAAATATATTAGGTTTAATGTAAAGATCTAGAAACTTTCTAAAACAGTTTCATGTAGAGATAAATATTACTATTTTGATGAAGATATTTCAAATATTTTTCTGTAGGATTTTATAGAATGGTATCACTTTTATATAAATTCTGTAGCCCTCTGCCTCATTCAAATAATGAATTGAGTAGGCCAGATGTAATAGCACTTGCCTGTAGTCCCAACCCTTGGAAGGCTGAGGCAGGAGAATCACTTGAGCTCAACCTGGGCAACACAGGGAGACCCTGTCTCAAAAGACAAAGAAACAGCTGGGTGCTGGTGGCTCATGCCTGTAATCCTAGCTACTCAAGAGGCAAAGATCAGGAGGATCATATTTAGAAGCCAATCCAGGCAAATAGTTCAAGATATCCCATCTCAAAAATACCCAACACAAAACAGGCTTAACAGAGTAGCTCAAGCAAGAGACACTGAGTTCAAATCTCAGTACTATAAAAAAATGATAATAATAAGACTAACTATGATACTTTTATATTTTAAAATCACTATATAAGCTGGGCATGGTGGTGCTTATCTGTAATCCCAGCTACTTAGGATTCAAAAGTATGAGGATCAAGATCCAAGGCCAGTCTGGGCAAAAGCTAACTTGGGACCCTATCTTAAAAACAAACAAACAAACAAAAAACTGAAGCAAAAAGGTCTGGGGATGTGACTCAAGTGGTAGAGCTCTTGCCTAGCAATCATGAAGCCCTGAGTTCAAACCCCAGTACTGAAAAACAAAAATCTCTATGTAGTATTCCATCATCACAATACACCTAAATTTGTTCACTTTTTTGCCTAATAAATAGTATTTCTATTTCTATATTTTAGTTGTAAAATAGTCCCAAAAGTTCTTGTGATCAACTTTGTGTATTTTTATAATGAACTCCTTAGAATAAGCAGCCAGAACTGGAGCTTTGGGTTAGCCATTGGTCATTGATAAAGAATTTGCTAATATGTGAAATCCTTACTTAGAACTTGGAAAAACAAAATGCTTTTAAATGTTCATATATTTACCCAAATCTCCAGTATAAAAGGCACTGGTTTACCCTGATGCCATGTTGTGGGAACTCACCAGAGCTTACATTGTCATCTGTAAGTCAAACCCATCCCAGAAGAACTCTGTGGAGGTAAATTGGTTTTCTTGGGTCACTGATATTCCCTGCGGTTTTCATTGCAGTCATCATCATGTCCCTTTTGCATTTAACCTTGCAAATAAGGCAGGTGTAGAGATATCATAAACCCACCTGGCAAGAAGAGATAGAAAGAGGCATAAGTTGTACACATGAAGAAGCAAGTGACTTTGAATTCTTTTCAGGACAGGCCTCCAGCACACATGAAAACAGTGACCCAATCAGGGAAACTGCCACAACGGGAAACTGAAGAAGCAAAAGCCATTTGGTGAAAATACAACAGTTTTATTTAATTTAATTTATTTTATTTTATTATTTTTTGGCAGTACTGGGGTTTGAACTAGGACCTCCACCTTGACCCACTCTGCCAGCCCTTTTTGTGATGGTTTTTCAAGACAGGTCTACTATTTGCCCAAGCTGGCTTCGAACCAAGATCCTCCTGATCTCTGCTTCCTGAGTAGCTAGGATTACAGGTATGAGCCACCAGCACCTGGCTTACAACTGTTTTTTGAAGAGCCTGAGCTACAATTTCATGTTCAAAGGAAGATTTTAAGAAGAAAAAAACCCATTATTTTCTTTCTTTTAATGACTATTTGGGAGTGGCTCACATTTAACAGCATTTAGATATGTACATTTAAAAATCAATGCATGGGTTTGGGGGTGTGGCTTAGTGGTAGGCTACTTTCCTTGTGTGCATAAGGCCTCAGGATGAATCACTAGCACTGCAAAAAACAGTCGAACAACACATTGTTACCAAAAAAAACCACTAAGTGAAAATAAGAATATTTAAGATCATAATCCAGAGATAATGAAAGTAATCTTTAAAGATAAAACTTTCCATCTTCTATCTGATACTTTGTCCATATTATCTGTAGAAATATATACATATATTTTAGAAACAAAACCACATATTTTCTAACCAGCTGTGTTTTCCCTAACAGTATCTTGAACACTTTCTATGTTATTAACTATGAAATTACTATTCAATTTGCGAGTACTCAAAATTAACATTGTATAGAAATATTTAATTTATGTAACCAATCCTTTCTTGTCTGACTGGGAATGTTGAACATTGCTGAGAATGTACATTTGTGTCAACATTGACACAATGTTCTTTTTCTTTTTTGACAGTACTGAGGTTTGATCTTAGGGCCTCACTTCTCCTAGGCAGGCGCTCTTCTGCTTGAGCCATGCCCCGAGATCAGTGTAGTGATTTTTCACTGATGTTTATGGTGGAAAAGTTTGTTTGCATCCATAAAATTGAATATATTTTTTAAAGGATATTTAGGACATTTGGGAAGAGTTTCAAGTTTCATGTAACTTGTAAATATTTTGATGAGTGCATAGATTTGAGTGTCAACAAAAGGGGTGTTGATGATTTTAAGAAGGTCATGTTATTACACACAAAAAAACTAGTTGTCCCTGGGTGCTGGCGGCTCATGCCTGTTATCCTAGCTACTTGGAGACAGAGATTCGAAGGATTTTGATTCTTGAACTGCCATCTCAGGCAAATAGTTCTCGAGACTCTATTGCGAAAATACCCAAAACAAAAAAGGATTGGTGGAATCACTGAAGTGGTAGAGCACCTGTCTAACAAGCATGAGGCCCTGAGTTCAAGGCCCAGTGATGACCAAAAAAAAAAAAAAAAAAAAACCAAAAACTAGTTGTCATGGAGCTAGGGGTGTGACTCAGTGCTTTAGCACTGACCTGCCATTCATGAGACCCTGAGTTCAATTTCCAGCATTGTAAGGAAACAAAAACAGAAACTAGTTGCCATGAATGGTGGCACAGGAGGTCTAAGCCTTACAGACCCTGTCTCAAAAACACCAAATCAAACAAATTAAAAAAAAAAAAACAACCTAATTGTTAATAACTGTAATAATTGTTTGGCGATCACAATGTGATGTTTTGAAATCTTCAGTCTAATATGATACCTCATTACTTACATATCAGTGTTTTGCTGTGCCTGATGCTATTTTAGGAAGTGACTTGGGAGCTTTGTGTGGGAATGCAATGCATTACACTTGTCGCATTTTAAGTATTGGTTATGGTTTTGGCTTCCCCAGGAGTAGATTACTACTGTTCAGATGGAGCTTCCTGTGTCTACCCAGCTCTGGTAACTTAGCCCACTTCTCCCAGTGCCCCAGTGCAGGTCCATGGTGCAGGACCCATGAAAGCTAGAGAAAACTTAGGGATGCAAGTTCAAGTTGCACTAGGTGGTATATAGATGACTAAACTTTGGAAGGATTTGTACAAAGTGTTGGTGTTAGGCATTCAAAGAGCTGTGGTTTTGTTGGGTCAACACCAACTTTCCTTTAATTCACAATCTGCCTTAACATTGTGCATTTGTGAAAAATCCCTGTGAGACAAATAGAGTTGGTATTTGGTAGTTCTGCCCTTTTATTCCTGAATCTTCCTCTGACCTTTTTCATTTTGACAAAAGCCCTGAGCCTGAAAACAAATTTAAAAAAAAAAATCTCATGCCTCTGTCTCCCAAGTGCTAGGATTACAGATATGTGCTACCACACCCAGCCTAAATTTTTATATAGTCAGGGATTAGCCAAATTAGTGTATCAGTCAGGACGGGCTAAATTATGGTATGATAGTTAAGAGCCTCTAAATTTCAGTGGCTTACAAAATAACTTTTGTATTTCCGCTAGTACTACATGTCTAGCATGGGTCAGGATAGGCAGGGTCCCAGACTAAAGAAGGTTCTATTTTCTTATAACCGTACCAGCTGAAACACACAGCTCCTCAATCACCACATTGGGAATCGAAAGATTGGAGAATTGTGCAGTGGCTTTCCAGAGTCTGACTGAAGTGACACACATCACCGAAGTTCATAGTTCATCTTCCAGAACCAGTTGTAACTGGGAAGCGTCATCTTCATGCGCCCACAAGGACAGGAAAGCTGGCCAAGAGGAAGCATTCCTAATGTCTGCCACACTGGCTAAGAGCTGTTTCTTTCTCTATGTGTAGGAAGTCGCTTCTGTAAATTAAGGTTGATTTCCTTTTGGAGTACAGAAGACATCCCTGTTCCGTGGAGAGAGCGTTGTCAAGAGACCTGTGCACAGGTGAGTGAGGGGACTGAGGACACAGAAATCTTTCAGATGAAGTCACCTTCTCTCTGGGAGGTCAAGATGTGCCTCTCAGAGGCAATAGAATCAGGGAGAAAAATCAAGCACCTTCAGCATACAGGTTCCCAAAGGCGGCGCCTGTCTGCCCCTCATGAGTCACTCCATTCATATCTAACTCCTTTTATAATCCACCTTCATCCAGAAGGGATTAATTGTGTTCTCATTATAAAATAGATCCCTAAGGGAAAAAATAGAAAATATACGAGAAAACAAGCAAATGGGTAATATAATGTTTACTAACACAGGAGCTGTAAAGAGAAGAGGTGTTACCTAGCTGAAGTACCTATTACAACAAGCCACTTGCAAAAGGCTCTGGTTTCCTTTTCCCATTCACCCTTAACTTTCCACATTCCCCTTTCTACCTGGGGTTGATTTATTGTTTATTCTCTTGTTAATAGCATTAACCCAGAGACTTGGGTTCTTACCCCATATCTAACTCAGTAGCACTTGCGGCCTTGGCGAAATCTCTTAACCTCTCAGGCATTCTGGTTCCTCTTCTGTAAAATATAGGGGAATAAAATCAACTTTAATGCACAGAAGTTTCAAAAATAAAACTAAAATGAGCCAGGCGCCAGTGCCTCAAATCTGTAATCCTAGCTACTTAGGAGGCTAAGATCAGGAGAATCATGGTTCTAAGCCAGCCTGGTTAAAGAGCTCTTGAGGTGGGCACTGGTGGCTCATTCCTATAATCTTAGCTAATCAGGAGGCAGAGATTGGGAGGATCAAAGTTCAAAGACAGCCTGGGCAAATGGTTTGCCAGACCCTTCCTGTCTCAAAAAAACCCATCACAAAAAAAAAAAAAAAAAAAGGCTGGTGGAGTGGCTCAAGGTGAGGCCCTGAGTTAAAGTCCCAGTACCACAAAAAAAAAAAAAGATATTAAAAAAATAATAATAATAACCAGTGCAAAATGAACTGGAGGAGTGCTTAAGCGGTAGAGTGCCTGCTTTGCAAGAGCAAAGCCCTGAGTTCAAACCCCATTCCTACAAAAAAAAAACTAAGTGAAAAGTATGTGTGAATGACACTATAGCACCCTGCCCCCTCCCCCATACCACATACGCTGTCTTACAGTTAGCCCTCTGTGACCCCCTCTAATTCAGCCCCTTCTCCTGCTCAGGGTTATTACTTGCCCTAGTAATGTCCTCCATGTCCCTGTCTCTCTAATTTTTCTTTGTTGTATTATTCCCATCAGTATAAAACATCCCATAATTTCCCCACATGCAAAAGGAACAACCCTGCTTGGAGCCCAGATCCACCTCCTCTCTGAGTTCTCCACTCTGGGAAATCAGTGAAGAAGTGAAGTTCTGCAGGAGGGCAGTAGGGAGGCTTGAGGGGAAATAAGGAATGCTGGGCCAAGAAGCTTCTAGAAATTGAACTCTCATTGAGGTCAGTACTTTGGATGCACAGGTCTGTGTGTAGATGCCCATAGAACTGTGGCTTTCTTGCTCATGTCTGCTGCTGTCCTCATCCTTCAAGGGTGAAGTGGTGACTTACGATGCTCCCTGCTGCAGTCTGGAGCCATCTGTGGCTTACATTAGATCAATAAGATGGAGGACTGTCTTGGTTGGAATCCAACACTGAGGTGCTTTGGTTCCATGCCATTGCTAGAGTGCTTCTGCCTCAAAACCTTCTTGCTGCTGTAGATTCCCTACTGTCAGGTGGGCGCTGGTGGCTCACACCTATAATCCTAACTGCTCAGGAGCCAGAGATCAGGAGGATGGAAGTTCAGAGTCAGCTTGGGCAAATAGTTCCCGAGACCCTATCTTGAAAAAAACCCATCACAAAAAAGGACTGGTGGAGTGGCTCAAGGTGTAGGCACTGAGTTCAAGCCCCAGTACTGAAGGGGCAAAAAAAAAAAAAAAAAAAAGATTCCCTACAGTCTAGGAAGGGTTTTGTGAACTCTGTTGCTCTTAATCTTATTTGTGTGATAGGACAAGAGGAGGCAGGGGAAGCAGAGCAGGGACAGTGGAAGTACAATTGTTTTAAGAAGATCATCTATTTTATTTGGGGGTGCTGAGGCATGCTCGGCCTGTCAGAGGTTTACCTCTTGTCCCCCATTTTGCTTTTTTTAGGACTCTGCACTTGCAAAGAGAGGAATCCAAAAAAAAAAAACAAAAACAAAAAAAAAACAGAGCAGGTCAGATAGTTCTGAGAGCCATGGCCCTTCAGGTAAGTTGAAATTTCTTCTATCCTTGGAATAATCCACCTTCCCTCCAGATCATAGGAACATTTGTGGGTTTTTTTGTTTTTTGGTGGGACTAGAATTTGAACACAGGGCTTCATGCTTGCAAAGCAGGTGCTCTACCACTTGAGCCACACCTCCAGTTCCCTCAATAACTTTTTTAAACAGCCTTATTATTATTGTATATTTAATTCACATACTGAAATTCACCCATATAAATAAAATATAGAGTTCAGGCTGAACATGGTGGCATGTACCTGTAAACCTCAGTGTGAAGTCCTGAGTTCAAATACCACTGCCACCAAAAAAAAAAAAAATCACATAGGACTTTAGTCACATTAATGTACTTATCTCCTCATCTTAAAGACATTTTCTTGGGTGGATCAGGTTATGAAAACCTGAACCTATTCATCAATGCTAATCCCATTAGAAATGGGACATGTACCAGAGACAGTGGTACATATCTGTAATTCAAGCTACTCTGGAGGCAGAGATCTGGAAGATCACAGTTTGAATCCAGTCCAGGCAAAAAGTTAACATGACCCCATCTCCCTCAATGAGCTAGGCATGGTGGTGCATGCTTGTGATCCCAGCTATGTAGGAGGCATCGTAGAGGATCATGGTCTAGGCAAAAACATAAGACTCTACCCAAAGATATCTAAGGCAAAAAGTGGCTCTTAGGTTACGAGTCAGAATGATATACGACCACCCAAGAAAGACTTTAAGGGAGAATCTTTATTAGCCAGCTGGCGACTGCTCTGACCAACAGGTCGCTGGTACCCAAAGCAGCACCTTTCTAACTTTTAGCAGGGTTTATAAAGGCAAAAACCATGTCCTATTTGACAGTCATTGTGAAGCAAGGTAGCCCAGGAACAGAAGCGAAATCAATGGCTGTTAGTTGCCATTGCGAAGCCTAAGTGAACACAACACAACCGTTTATCCACATCCCGCTTTGGCTCCTTCTGTTTTCTCTATGGGAACCAGACCTCTCATGAACCCCTTCTACTTTTAAGCTGAGGTGGCACCTGATTAATGGCTTCCCTCTGACTGAGTCTTTTAACCATTTCACTTATGGTAGAGCAAGACCCCATGGAGGTCTCTTATGGTTAGCAAGACCCCATCTCCATCAATGAGCTAGGCATAGTGATGCATACTTGTGATCCCAGCGAGGCATAGTAGAAGATCATGGTCCAGGCAAAAACACAAGACCCTACCTAAAAGATATCTAAAGCAAAAAGTGCCTCTTATGATAGAGCAGCCCTGCCTAACAAGCAGGGTTCAAACCATAGTACCACAAGAAAAAGAAGAAATGGGACAACCAAAAAGAGGGGGGCAGCCAATTCTCATGTGCCTCCTAATATCATATTGTAGGAAGTACACAGCACCACTTCTGACATATTCTGTCCCCCCAAAAGAGGATATGAGGCCTCCGGGTCTAACTACTACCATTTCACAGACAGTATCAGCAGTGAAGCAATGGGTTAAGTTCCACCATGAAGATGCTCTCGGCCCAGTACAGAACATGGGAAATTCTACCAAAACAAATAGTTTCTCTAATCAGTAAATGTTGGGGCTGGTGGAGTGGCTCAAGCAATAGAGCATGTGCCTACAAGGGTGAGGCTCTGAGTTCAAACCCCAGTGCCACCAAGGAAAAAAAAAAAAGCAATCCTTTGCCAGACGCCAGTGACTCATGCCTGTAATCCTAGTTACTCAGGAGGCAGAGATCAGGAAGATCACAGTTTGAAGGCAGCCCAGGCAAATAGTTCATGAGATCCTATCTTGAAAAACCCATCTCAAAACAGGGCTGGTGGAGTGGCTCAAGATGAAGGGCCTGAGTTCAAGCCCAGAATTGCAAAAATAAATAAATAAATGATGAGCTGGGGGCACAAGGTCATAAGGTCAACCCCCAGTACCCCAAAATAAATAAACAAATAATAAAAATTTTAAGCAGTTTTGTGACGGTTGTTAGAGACTTGCAACTAAACATAGTATGTGTTATCTTGTTTGAATTTTTTTTTTTGACAGCACTGGGGTTTGAACACAGAGTCTCACACTTGTTAGGCAGACATTCTACCATGTGAGCCACTCCACCAGGCTTTTGTGTGGTGGGTTTTTTTGAGATAGGGTCTCACAAACTGTTTGCCCAGGATGGCTTCAAACCTTAATCCTCCTGATCTCTGCCTCCTGAGTAGCTAGGATTACAGGCATGAGCCACCAGCGCCCACCTTTTTTGAATCCTGATTTGAACAGAACAACTTAAAAATCACTTTTGACTGAGGCAATGTGGAACTGGCAGACATTACATTAGGTGAAATCAGTAGGCACAAAAAGACAAATACCACATATTCCCACTCTTATGTGGGAAAAGGGTTGATTTCACAGAAGCAGAGAGTAGAATAGTGGTCACCAGAGATGTGGAAGGGGAGGGAGGACACAGCGATGTAGGACAAGGGGTACCAAATACAGTTAGATAGCAGGAAGACACCCTGGCATTCTACAGTCTAGTAGGATAGTTAGGGTTTACAAAAATTTATTGCATATTTTATAAAGAACTAGAGCAGAGAACTTGAAAAATTTCCAACACAAAGAAATGACATTTAAGGAGATGAAAATTTTAATTATCCTGATTTGATTACTACACATTGCATGCATATATCAAATGACATCACACTGTGCCCCATAAATATGTGCAATTTAAAAAATAATAAATCACTTTTGAAAAACTCTAACAACTTGAACTTAACCTATTAGGAAATCACTGTTAATTTTATTAAGTATGATGATATTCTGATCATTATGCCTTTTTTAAAACCTCTCTAATCTGTTGGATACTATGTATTTGTGGGTGAAGTACTATGAAGTTCAGTATGTGGGATTTGCCTCAAATACACCCGAGCTAAAAGATGGAAGGCTGGGGGTTGTAGCTCGGTGGTTTGCTATTTGCCTAGCATGCACGAGGCCCTGGGCATGAGGCACCTTCCTGTCCTTTGGACAGCTTTCACACCTTACTGTTTATAATCACCTCACTCCTTGCTGACCAAGGGACTGTGGATTTTGGAATAGGTGGTCATGACCCCCAGTACCCAGTACCACAAAGAGGGTGGAGGGAGATGAAAGAGAATAGATGAAAATAAGATGTGCAGAATCTTACCAGTTGTCAAAGCACAGTGATGGACTTATGAGCATTATTACATTCTGTACACTTTTTGTGTATTTTGAAATTTTTCATAATGAATAGTGAAAACAAAAACCCAAAGTCCTTTAATCTACTAATAATGTGTGGATTGTTTTAGGGAGTTGTGACCTTCAGGGATGTGACTGTAGAGTTCTCTCAAGAAGAATGGATGTGCCTGGAACCTGCCCAGAGGAATTTGTACAGGGATGTGACTTTGGAGAACTTCAGTCACTTGGTCTCACTAGGTAAGGCTAGTGTATCACCCAGGGACAGACAGGAAACAAAGCACCCAGGGACCGTAAAAATAGGAGTTGTGTGTTTGTACCTCTGATCCAAAGAGGCAAGGAGAGGAATCAGTGCCACCACAAATGCTGAGACCTAGAGCCATGGAGAACAGTCGGACAGCAGCAACTACAGCCACCCCTCTATCCCCCAACTCCCAGGTCAAAGGAGGGAGGGATGGAAGGGTAAGAAATGCCCTGCACTCACCTCCTGCCAGCTGACCTGCTGGGTCCTTCTATCTGCCAAACCAATGGCAAGCTACAGGGCAGGGGTGATACATTCCTTCTGAGTAGGCTGTCTGGGTTACAGACCAGGCACAGAGCCTGGATAGAATGAGGGAAGAGGGGATTAATGGAATGTAATCACCACCTTTTATCTACTCCACATAATTCAGGAATAGCCTTCTGAAATTTCTGGTTTCTTTATTGTAAATTTCTAGGGCAACTTACAAGTTTCTAACAGAATTTCTGTCCTCTGTTCTCAAGAAAATTGCTTTGGGCTTTGTGGGATTGGAAATGAGTCATTGCATCAGGCACAGTCACCTTCCTGTCCTTTGGACAGCTTTCACACCTTCCTCTTTATAATCGCCTCACTTGTTGCTGACCAAGGGACTGACTTTGGATTTTGGAAGAGCGTGATCATGACCCTCTTCTGTTCCTGTAAACAGGTCTTTCCATGGCTAAGCCAGATGTTATCTCCTTATTGGAGCAAGGGAAAGAACCCTGGATGGTCACAACTGATATGAAAGGACCATGGTACTCAGGTGAGTGAGGGCTGATCTGGTGGGGGAGGCCATGGGGCTAACAGCCCAGTGAGTGAGTCTGCAGATAGCTGTAATAGAGTCATTGTCAGGAGGCTCCCCAAAGCCCTGCTGTGGAAAAAGGCCTAAGATATGAAGGTGCAAAGAGCAGAGATCTTGTCAGCATCGGCTCCCACGGAGACCTGGTCCTCTCTGTTTAGTTCATGTCTACCCTTTGTTCTCCCATATCCTCCTCCCATTTCAAAATAGAATATGCCATTTTCTACCCCAGTGGCTGCCTTTTCACCTGTGCTCTGGACCCTTTTTTCTGTAGGTATTTTTCCATATTATTTAAATTTTTTTTTATTTTTATGTTTACAAATTTTTTTTGGCAAACTGGGGTTTGAACTCAGGGCCTCACACTTGCTAGGCAGGTGCTCTAGCACTTGAGCCACTCCACCAGCTCTTTTTTTGTGAAGAGTTTTTTTTCTGTAGAGGGTCTAGTGAACTATTTGTCCAGGCTGGCTTTGAACTACGATCCTCCTGATCTCTGCCTCCTGAGTTCAGCTAGGATTACAGGTGTGAGCCACCGGTGCCTGGCTTATGTTTACAATTACATAATGAGTTTCATTGTGCTATTTTCATACATGTCTATAATATATTTTCATCATATTTACCCCTTTGCCACGTGTTCTCTCTCTACATTCATGTAACATATATACATGGTATAGATTCTGCATATAAGTAAGAATATGTGACATTTGTCTTTCTCATTCTGGTTTATTTCACTTAAAATGATGATCCACAGTTCCATCCAGTTTCCTGTAGATGACATAATTTCATTATTCTTCATGATTGAGTAATATATTGTGTATACATACCACATTTTTTTTTGTTTTGCAGTACTGGGGTTAGAACTCAGGGCCTTGTGCTTACTAGGCAGGAATTCTATCACTTGACCCATGCTCCTAATCCCTTTTTGCTTCTTTTTTTTTTGTTTTTGCTTTATTTTATTTTTTAACAGGGTCTCACATTTTTGCTGGGGTTGGTCTTGACCACCATCCTCCTATTTTATGCCTCTCATAGAGCTGGGATGCTAGGGGCATACCAACAAACCCACCTTCTTGGTTGAGATAGTGTCTAACTTTTTATCCAGTCTGGCCTCAAACTGCAGTCTTTTCAATCCCCACCTCCTGAGTAGCTGGGAACCCCTACGCCCACCTCTGCATTTTCTTTATCTATTCATCAGTGGATAGGCACCTAGACTGATTCGCTGACTCCCTATTGTGAGTAGTGCTACAGTAAACATGGGTGTGTGGGGGTGTCCCTGTTATATACTGCCTTGTGTTCCTTTACATATATTCTGCAGAAATCTTCTTGCCTCAGAAAAACTTGATTTTGGAGTTGATGCTCCCATTTCCTGCATGGGAAGCAGAAAATGTTTCTCTTCCTTTTTCTATTTCTTCTTACTTGATTCTATTATACTAAAATAAATCCTTACTAAAACATCAAAGGAAAAAAAAGAAAGGCTTGTTTTCTAAAAACTGCTTCTCATTTTATCAGCAATCCATTTATTCATGTGTTCTTTTACTTTTTTTTTTTTTTTTTCCCGATACTGGGGCTTGAACTCAGTGCATTACACCTGCTAGGCAGGAACTCCACCAGTCCTGTTTTATGTTGGGTATTTTCAAGATAGGGTCTCACGAACTATTTGCCCAGGCTGGCTGCAAACCTGGATCCTCCTGATCTCTGCCTCCTGAGTAGCTGGGATTACAGGCGTGAGTCACTGTTGCTGTCCCTCCCTCCTGCCCTTCCTTCTTTCCTTCCTTCCAGGTTGGAGATCAAATCCAGGACCTCAAGTATGCCAGGCAAGTACTCTACCACTAAGCTATACTTACCCCCTCCACCTTCATTTTTGCAGAATGTTCTTCCTTGTGTGGGCTAGTATTTTCTCTCACTGCCATTCCTCTTCTATTGTGGATTAGTCAAGTTGTTCCAATTTTGGAAAATGGTCAACATGTATTTAAAACTAGGGTTGTTCAGACAGGGTACTTACCTCCTATAATCATTTATGTTTAAGTTGTTTATAATCTGCATATCATCTTCAATTTCTCTGTACTTGGGCTATCGACTTCCTTTTTCTTTTTGTGATACTGGAGACAGAACCCAGGGTCTTGCTCATTCTATGTAAATGCTGTCATTGAGCGTGTGCTATAACTTCTAAGAGCTGTCTCATGTTTGAACTCAAGACTTTGCACACCTCCAATCCATTTTGCTCTGGTTATTTTGGAGTTGGGGTCTCACGGACTCTGCTCAGGTGGATCTCAAACCTTGATCCTCCCAGTCTCAGCCTCCCAAGGAGCTAGGATGACAGGTGTGAGCCACTGGTGCCCCACTTAAAATGTGCTTGAACTTGCATTACCTCAGGACTGAAGTAGAATATTCTTCTTTTCTGGTAAAGGCTTGTGGACTGGTTAAGATTGTGTGTCTCTAGTTTCTGCCCTGTGAAGTTTCTATTTTTCCACCATAAGTTGATAGGTTACCTTAGGGGAAATAACTCAACATTTAAGGATGTGCTTGCTTTCTCTTATTGCAGCGTTAATTTTAACATCCCCTCGAGTGTCTTGTGTGTCCCGGTCACTACTGTACATTTGCTTGCCGTGATTTTCTTGCGTACCTTACTGGTCTACATTGTTAAATGGAACTCTTCTGTAAGGAAGAGCTGCCCCTCCCTGCCTCCCAGTCATTTGCTAAGTCAATGATTTGGGGTTGGTGTTACTCACTTTAGTGTTGAGAGCCTGGCCACTGAGAACTTCTGGATTACCTCAGCATGCCTACATTCTTTTTTGAGTGCTTCCATATTTTCTGGTACCACAACATGTTCTAATCTTACCTGTACTTTTCCTGCCTCAGCCCTGAGATTGGCCATTTCTCAGAGGAGCCCTGATTCCTTTTGTTAGACAATGAATGAAACACTGTCTTTGAATTTATTTTTCTGCTCAAAGTAAGACCTTAAGATCTTTACCATCTTTTACTTCCCTACACCCTGGGCCAGGGGTGGAAAACTATAATCTATAATCAGTTTGGGGTATTTTTTTGGGGGGGTGTTGAACTCAGGGCCTTGTGCTTGCCAGAAAGACACTACTGCTTGAGCCACTCCCCCAGGCCTATAAATCAGATTTTTAGCTCTCAACCTGAGAACAGTTTTTATATTTTGAAAACATTTGTTTTAAAAAATGCATAGGGGCTGGAGGTGTGACTCAGTGGTAGAATACTTGGCTACCATGAGTGAGCCCTGAGCTCCATCCCTAGCACCAAAAAAAAAAAAATTGCTGCAAAGACCTTGTGTGTCCCTCAAAGCAGAAAACATTTACTGTCGCTCCCTTCCAGGAAAATGTCTGTTGACCCCTGTCTAGATTCCCCACTCTCAATCTACTCTACTTTAATGATCTGGAAGTTTAGTTTTATTCTGCCATTGTTTTTATGATATTTCAAAAGTCTGTATTTATAGTAATCTCTAACAATAGTGATTTAAGCATCTGTGCACTATGGCCTAGGGCCAAATCCAACTTTGCCACCTCTTTTATATATATATAAGTATATATATATATAAAATAAATATAATGTATATTTTAGACAGAGTCTCCCTATATAATCAGGTTGGCCTCAAACTTGTGATCCTTCTGCCTTAGCCTCCTGAGTGCTAGGATTACAGGCATGAGCCACCACACTTGACTCTGCCACCTGTGTTTTTGTGATCTCCATGCTAATTGAATTTTATAAATGCCTTCTAATGGATGCATATTTTTAATTAAAATCATATACTCCTACTTTGATATCACTATGTAACAGTATTATACATATATATATATATAAAACAATACTTTCAAAGATGAGATACATCAAATCTTATAAGAAGTCAGCACTAACATGAACATTTATAATTAGTTTTGATGCTGGGATACACTAATTTTGAACCCAAATTAAGCAAACTGTTAGCCCCCCAATTCCATTTTTCTTGTTTGTAGACCTGTATTACAAAATAATTGTGCTGAGCTGTTGTTATAGTTTGAATTTCATCAATTAAAATTTTATGGCAGGCTGGATCATGGCTCAAATGGGAGAGCACCTGCCTAACAAATTTGAGGACCTGTGTTCAACCCCCAATAACATCAAGAAAAATTATGGCTTTTTGTTCTCTTTTATTATATAACAATAACATCCTCATTTATACCTCTTGGACCATAAAGCCTAAAATAATTACCATCTAGCCCTTTGAAAAAAGTTTATCTTTTCAAATCCCAGTACTTGCCAGTCCCTGACTTAGACATATTATTGAAAGCCAATGTTAAAGAAGAAAATTATATGTCACTAAATTTAGACATCCGTTTAAGTCATCCTTAAATTACAGTTACTTCGGAGCTCAACACTAGGAGCTGGAGGTGTAGCTCAGTGGTAGAGTGTTTGCCTAATATGTGCAAGCAAGGCTCTGGGGCCTGTTCTGATGGCATGCCCTGTGATCCCAGCTGTGCAGGTAGGCCACAGGAAGGAGGATCACCTGAGCAAAACTGGGAAACCCTACCTGAAAAATAACTCAGCAAAATAGGACTGGGGTTGTGGCTTAAATGGTAGAGCACCCGCCTAGCAAGTGTGATGCCCTGAGTTCAAATCACGCACACACACACACACACACACAAAGAGTGTATATGGCTAGGGATGTATCTCAGTGGTACTGTGCTTACCTAGCATGCCCAAGGCCTTGGATTTGATCCCCAGTATAGGAAATAAAAAAGTATATGGTACAACTCTTTATTAAAATAGTAAGACCATTGCTTTCTTTGTGGTTACTGGGGTTTGAACTCAGAGCCTCACACTTGCTAGGCAGGAAGCTATTGCTATTTATTTCTTAAAAGTATTCTGATTTTTCACAAAGTATTTAGTTGATATATTTTCTAAGGTCTTGCAGAATTGCAAAAGAAAATCTTTAATTCAATTTTCAAAAACCATTATAAACTAGCTAGGTG